TAATACAAGAACAAATTAATACATAGATACAGATAAAGCAGATAGATCCCACCATATTATTAAAAATTGTTTCTATCTGAACTAGCAGGCCTGTACCTATCCTCAGAACTATGGTCCATGCTTAACACACTGGTAGAGTAATATCAAAGAAAGAAGCAGCAAGTACTAAACACAAGGTTTAAAGAATCGAGAAATCTACCATATGAAAAATGTGAATGAGTCAAAACAGAACTCAGAACTCTTTTTTTGTCCCAAATGGCAAATTGTGAGGCCAAATATTTAACTCACAAGCCACTGATTCTAATGTACTGACATGAATGAACATAGAACTAAATATGAAGTACTGAAAACGCATTTTCATCTATTTCAATATGTTTTATAAAAATTATTTTAGCTTTACAACGGATATTCTTTTTCACTTAGGAAAGCAGGGCAGAGAGAAGTTATTTCAAAATAAGACAGTGAGGTAGTGGCAAAACAATAACATTCAGATGTTTTTGCCTTGGACCTAGGAGTCAATCAAGAAAATTACATTTCAACAGATCCAATTCTTTGACAGGAAGAAGATCAGGTCTTGATGGAATTTGAATCCCTGAATACTACTGCTGAAGGAAACCACACTGCAACCTGAGCTAAGGTAAAACATGTAATTTTCAAAAGGAAGGTTATGTCTACTCTGCATATTTCTATCTACTAGAGAACAAAACCTTAACACACTTCCTACAAATTTCCAAGACATTTGACCACATTCCCAAAACCAGAAGGATCCATAAACATAGAGCACATGATACAAGCACAGGATCCATAAACATCAAGTACACTGTACAGTTCAAAAGAAACAGCACTATCACCCAAAAGTGAGCACTGGTGAAAGTAAAGTCTTTTTTAGAACTTGAACCAAAAAAAGCATATTCACATCATGCAATATTCTCAGTAACTGAGAATCAAATGCTTAGTATTATATAGGTTCCCTGACCTGAAATTTAAACAGGGCTTACCTATGGCTCCTGACTACACTCTATACACTATGTTCAGTTAATGTACGTCAGTCATGTTCAAGAGAGGTTTTAGATATAGCTGGATTCAAAGCTGTCTTGGTGTGTCCATGCCAGGTAGCTGTATTTCAGTACTGACAATCTCAAATGTTCAAAATCATGAAGCCACCTACAGTAAGACTGATGTTTCCTTTAAAATGATAACATTTGGGGAAAAAAACCAGACATTCTTGTTTAGTTCTATAATTGTCTGTTGCTTATAATTTTGGATATCAGTCATGGAATGTTTATGAGGCTATTAAATCATAGTTTTGAATTTTGCTAGCTAAAAATGTATCATATATTTCAACTGACAATTGGGACTTCAGGTAATGAAATAAGTCAAACAGCTGTGGATTATTCTTCAATGGTGTCACAGTCAGTGGCAATGTTTTGAATACAGTTTGAGCATGATTTTTAATATAGTTAGCTCAGTCCTGCTGGTGGCTAAGGAAGTAATAGAAATGTTGGTTTATGTCACATTTAATATAAAACTCTTGCTAATGATTTTCAGGCCTCCATTCAGATGACTGTTAGCCCATTATGAGTAACACAAACTTTGAAGAAGACTTCACACACCAGATCATCTCTGGAAGTACATCTAGTTACCATTAATTAACTCTTACTTTTAATTAACCTTAAAAAAGTTTTCACACACTGGGTAGGGGCAACAAGTTAAGAAAAAATATTCTACAGTGTTTCACATTTGTCTAATTGCTAAGTTTGAGGAATTTCAAGATTTATCTTATAATTCATTAATCAAGAAAAAAAATAAATGTAGCTTCATGTTCTGATCAATGAGCCAGTACCTCAAGCACTCCTAAAATTACAGGAAAACGTGACTCTGATCCTGTCAAACTCAGATCTCTGCCATATGTTATAGAAAAGATGTAAGGTACATAGAGAAATCATTGCTAGAACCTATTACAAAAGCATTCCATAGAACAGAAGTCTGCTGATATGTCTCATAACAAATTACTTGAACCTTAAAGGCTGTATCAAAACAATGAGAATCAGGAGGACTTCCCAGATCTCAAATGCCTGTTGGGCATTTTCCTATGGAAATGCAGATGTGCAGGTACAAATGGAGGAGTGGAATTGCACTTCCACAGCCCCTTTGGTCTAGGTCAGTGGGCGGATCAGAATGCAGCCCAAACTGCGTTTCCCCCCAGTTTATGACCAGCAGTGGGACTAAATTTGGAGCCCTTAGCTCAGGAAAAAATCTGCTACACCATTGCCCCATCCCTACTCCCCTCACCCACCACCACTTTAAAAGGACCCTCTACAAATTATTAATATTTTCTCTAAATGTAGTGACTTCCATAATTCTGAAGTTCTAAAATTCTAGTGATGAGAGTAGAGCCACCTGGTAGATCTAACAGCCATACACCCACTCTGTCACAACTGCACTTGGGCCCCAGAGATCTGGATCTACTTCTGATGAGAAAAGAAAGGGCAGCAAAAGTTGACCATCAATATGTCACTTCGGAAATCTTTATTCTCTATTCGACTGCATTATTTGTGTAAAAGCATACAAACCCCATAGAAATATTATCTAAAGATGTCTACATCAACCTGCATTCAAGTGATACCTAAAAAAAATTAAAAAAAAAAAAGATTTAAAGTAACAATGACAAAACAGAAAGGAAGGTGTGAAACACACTGAGTCTTCAAAGAATATGACTGTGCCTATTAGGAATCTTTGACATTCAGCTGACATGACTGTGGCAACACAATAAAATGCAACCAAGTACTTTTAGAGGAGGTAAAAAAAGAGAAACAAAGATGGCAAAGGATCTAGAGCACAAGTCTGATGAGGAACGACTGAGGGAGCTGGGTGTGTTTACCCTGAAGAAAAGGAGGCAGAGGGAAGACCTTGTCTCTTTCTACAACTACTTGAAAGGAGGTTGTATCCAGGTGGGGGTCAGTATTTTTTCACAAGGAACAAGCAATAGGATGAGAGGAAATGGCCTGAAGTTGTGCCAGGGGAGGTTTAGATTGGATATAAGGAAATAGTTCTTCACTGAAAGAGTTGTCAATCATTTGAACAGACTGCCCAGGGAAGTGGTTGAGCCAGTAGCTACTGAAAAAATACTAGAAGCCTCACATCCTGGATGCTGTGATTGCTACCTTCCACTCTAAATGAAGTCAAGCTAGAAGTGTCATTTCTTAGCCAGCCTGCCAAAGATAAGGGGCAAAACTTGGGTGATATTTTGAAAGTCTTTTTCTTGCATCTGCCTGATATCTAAATTCACCTTGTCTGCAACTAGAAGGACAAATAAGCAGCTCAGTTTTGATCTCCTGCCAATGTTTTTTTTCAAATCAGCAGAGGTATCTATCCAGCACCTCTTTTCCAGAGATATCTCTTGGCTGCTAAACAAATTTTGGAAATCTGAATCCATTCATGAACTCAGATTTCTAATGTGGCAACGCACCATGCCCAAAATGCCCCACTAGCTCTAGAAAGACATGTACACTGTCCTTAACCTGGCACACATCACTGTAGCTTGGGTTACATATGTCAAAGCTTTGCTCTTCACTATCCAGTAACAAGGGGGGGCTGTCACTACCCCGAGGTGTATCAAGATACTAAATTAAGGACAGTAGAAAGAGAATGGATGAACTGAAGGAAATGAGCTAAAACAAGAGCGTCATCAGAGACCTGATGTCATCTAAACCAGTAACTGCGTATCTGTAAGTATTCCATTGCAACTTTTCACCCAAACTGACAAAAAAATATTCTTTAACACGTTGAAGTATGAGATATTGCTGCTGGATGGAAATTCCTTTATAAAGCAGTTTATAAATAACTGATTAGTCAAAAAGTATTTTTGAAGTCCATGTATCTCCCAATTCCTTTTTTCTAGAAAACCAGAATCATTGCAAAACACCTGTCTGAAAGTTTTCATCTACATTCTGTTCATTACTTTTCTGTTTTCAGACAATACAACAGTGGCTAATCACATTCAATAAAAGATGAAAAAATGAAACTCATAAGTAACAGCTTCCTAAAGTTTACTGGTCCTATTCTTTTGATCCAAGAAAAAAATGAGACTTTGGATTTTTCAGACATTTGGATTTTAATGGAAAAGATCAGAGGTGTTTTAACCTTTCCAAGCCATAACTAGAATTTGCCCAGTTTAAAAAAGAGCGAAATTACTCTCAAACAGAAGTAAATTGAGGAGGCAAAATCCTGCATAATATTCTACCTCAATAGTCCATTAATTTTACTACATGACTATTTAGGGTTCCTTTATGTCTACATGTTCTCTTCTAATGTATGATAGGGTAAAATGACATCCACTTCCAGAACGTGCACAGTAATCCTGCTGGAGACTCAACTCAGTCTTGGTAAACACTGATTTCCACCTGTGGCTTAACACATATAGAATATGTAGATATATAGAGAACCCTGACTGAAATGAGCACACTAAAGGTTGATATCATGAAAAAGACCTTTTCATAAAGAAAATGTGAAATATTTTTCCATTATCATTTTACAGCTTCCTAAGAGTAGATTTTACTTGCTTTATCATGAATAGGCAGTGAGTGTACTGGTGGGTAGATTTCTTAAAATGTTCTAACCTTCTTCAAAGCTGCTAAATCCTAAGCACTGGTGAAAATATACATATACATACATACATATATATATATATATGTATGTATATATATATATTTCCTGAGATAATTTTCTCAATATTTCCTAAAATGTTATTAATAGTTTAAAATGGGTAGCTGCTTGGGGGAGAAACAGTTGTGTTGCAGAAGTGCTAAAAGGGCTATATAATCCTTTTCATGTCTCCACCCTTCATTATGGACTTACCAACATCTCACAAATTCAGACAGAAATCAATCAAGTGTTACCCTAGGATGTAAGATAGGCAGTACTTATGACACTGGCAGTGTTTCAGCCATATCATTCTGTGATGCAGTGTTCAATAACCCATGGTCAAAATTGCAACTCACCTTCTGCATCTTCTGGCCTTGTAAGATCGATGACACCAGGGCCAATTTTTCCATCTTCACTGGGTTTCCCTGTTAACTGTGGGCCTAAATTTTCAAATCTTGTTCTCTCCTGGAAAAGAACAGAAGGAATCTTAATGCTCCATATAGGATAGTTCTCATTATATGCCTGTGCATATGTGTATGCATTGATACATGCCTTATTTTTTAAATCCGAACAAATAATGAATGCATCTAATTAGAATTTTAGCTCAGGGACAATTTTTTTTTACAGATTCTGAATGTTTGCATTTATGAAAATCAGCTTTAAATGTGAAACATATACAGAAACTTTGAGATTATTTTGATCTGCACTGCCATAATGCATAAACGATTGTACATGCAAATACAAAACACTCTTGGCAGCACACAGTGCTGATTGATGCTGCTCACTTTGCCTTTTCACTTATTTTGTAACTTAAACTGAAAAAGACAATCAACATTTGGGAAACATGAAAATTCAGAAGTGGAAAGAAGAGTTTGTGTTAAAATGCACTGTTATTTTAATGAAAAAAGCACTTTTTCCTCACTATGAAATTTGAGTTTGCATTCATACCTCTGTGAAAATACAAGTCTGAATTTTATGCAGAGGTTTTCAAAGCCATATATTTGAAACAAGGAATATTAGAGGACAGAACTGATATTATTTTGTATAGAAATTTAAATTGTACCTCAGTGAAAAGGGAACTTAAGAAGACAAAAAAAAAAAAAAAAAGAAAAAGGACTGCCCACTCCTAGAAAAACAGAAAGCTTTTGAGAGCTGGAGACCTCCACAGGAAACCTGGAACTAGAAAGTGGAAACTGAAAGGTATTTTATTTGTTAAGCCAGTTCCTCAGTCAACTACTGCACAAGGGTACTACAAAAGACAGTGTAATATTGTCTCTCAGTAGTAGTCTCTGTAGTACTGTGTATCAGTAGCAAAGTGTTCAATGGTTATCATTAATTTAGCATTCTCATTTGGAGGAACATAGCGTGTTTTCCCTCTTGCCTTGTTGTTACCTCTTCAGACTAAACTTGGCATTATGTTGTACTTGTGAATGAACGAAACCTTGTTGTTCATTACTATGAAACAATATTAAATGTCATGTCAGCTTGAATTTAGAGACATGAAATACCAGCTTTCAGCTCTATGAACAGTTTCTCCATGTTATACTTAATGCATTATGCAGAAGTAGAGTGCTGATTGCTGTTCAGACTATTGTTCAATGACCTAGTTCTGTGCTATGCTTACTAGACATAAGAAAACATTGTGAGTTTCTCTCCTAAAAGATGGCTAGAAATTTGGAAATGTTTTTAAGGACAAAACATATTTGAGGGTCTTGACTCCTCGTTTGCTCCACCTCCAACTACTCCTTTCCAATGTGATTATTTTTCTATTATCATTATGTTTTAGCAATGAAACCTCACCAGGACAAGTGAGGAATTGTTTTGATTCCTCACGCTTTTGATTCCTTCAACCATGGATTTTTTTAAATTTTTGTGTTTAATATGCAGAGGAAAAGAAAGCACAATCTGACACTGGATTTGCCACAACATGCAGCTGAGGCATTTCAGGTACTAACTGCATTTCTAAAAGTTCCTCAGAATCTTCCAGTTGTCAAAAAAAATAACTCTGCATTTTATATTTGCTAACTTCTTTGCTTATTTTCTTCCATAAAATCCACGGATGATGAAGGAGCTTTCGTATACGAAGGAAATCATGAGAAAAGAAAGGGTTACAAATGAAATGTGACTGCAGAAAGGCATTGCAATACTAGAGGCCCAATATTTTACTGAAAGATGTTTTGCAATGTAACAATACACCTGAATCATCACGATGGAATAGGTTTTACTGATAGAGAGAATAAAAAATAAGTTTGTCAAGGATTCTGTGTTCCACTGCAAAGGGCTGATTTGCAGTTGAGATAAAAACAAAGATCAGTGCTAAGAAAACAGCTTTTGGCACATTTATTTTCTCTTCCAAAATATTTGCACTAAAAGCTTTTTCTTAAGGATGTTAATACAACACCTGCAGTATTCTTGAAGGAGAAATACCTTTCTGCTATAAAAATCAACAGACCTTGCTACATATCAATATGCACACTTGGAATATCTTTCTAGTCATTCATTCTCTTTGATTTTACCAGAAAATATTCAGTTACACAAAAAAAAAAAAAAAAAAAAAAAAAAAAAAAAAAAAAAAAAAAAAAAAAAAAAAAAAAAAAAAAAAAAAAAAAAAAAAAAGAAGAAAGAAAGTTTCTGAAAGAATATCAATATTTTGACATGGAAGGAGAAAAGGGAAAATTACATGATAAGGTTCAGAAACAGTAAAATGAAAGCACTTATGCCATAAAAATACCTGCTCTTGTCAAACAAAGGAGATGTACTCATAACCCCTCCTTCTAATTCATAAAAAGCTTTAACAAAGCTAGTTATATTTAAGTCTCTGAAATGCCTTTTAAAGTAATTCGTTTGCTTGGTTTTCTACTGAAAATTATCATCATAGTGATAGAAAATTCATTTGCATTGAATTTATAAAAATTCAAAGAACTAAAAAAAATAGAAAACTCTTCCTCAATACTAATAATGTTTTTATCTAGTAGATGCCTTTACATTTCCATGAAATAGAACAAATTCACATGAAATTTATTATTAGAGAGGAAACTTCTCTCACCCAGCTCAAATCCTTTTTAGTGGGATTTGTCTTTGCTCCTGTCTTGAATTCATCCTAGAAAGAATAGGTACTAGCACTAAAAATCCCTTAAAAGTATGCATTTGCCTAGAATTATTAAGAGGAAGATTGATTCTCTACTTCATGCTCCTATATGAAAAAACAGACATACCTTCATTAAAACTACACAGTTATACGTAGCTGCGCTAACAAATATGCTACCTACACATGCATTACATCTGCACACATATGCATCAGCTACTGGATAGATTGCTGCCTCCCTAACTGACATTAGTAGAAAATTTTGGTGAGTTTGCAATAAAGTATGCTGCTATGGACAGCGCAGGTGTTTTCTTTCATGTGAGAAAGCATTTTGGACCCCTATTTTGAACAGATTCTTTTGTTGCTGTTGTTGTTGTTGGTTTGGGCTTTTTTGTGCTGGCTGTGGAGCTTATACTGTATAGTTACATTAAGTTTTCCCATTTCAAACTCAGAAAAAAAGGTCTAAGACATGACACTGACAACCCTTCCTCATGACTCGACCAACATAGTCAGCTGGAGTTGGCATTAGTAAACCGAAAGCACTTCCCAACACAAATCAGATCCTTTGTGCTTCTTTATATGTTGAACATTCAGTAAAAATAATCCTTCCTTTAAAATGAGAAAAAGAAGAGAAAAAAGAACCTTCTGAGCAGCCAAATCTTAATTTTCCATTCTGTGATATGATTAGGCACTTATTTATGCGTTGTCAGTCACAAACATGCAGAAAACGTAAAAGTTATTGAAAAAATTAAAGTCTGCTCAACTGTCTTGCAGGACTGTTGGTTCTCTAAGTGCTTTGAAATTATGATGTATGAGGTAGATGTTGCATATTAAATAAAGATATTTAAATTATAAAGCCCCCGTTAGTGAGAGCTGATGAATGTTAAATGTTATGAGCCACAAGGCTGTGGCATCCATCATATTCACATATTATCACAGTCAGTGATGGAGCGGCCCCAGTGATGACAGATAGACTGCTAGATAGTTATCCCTTATTTCCAGCGTCGCCAAGCAAGCCTTTCAACCCCTTTGGCATTATTTTTAGCTTTGCATTAAATTAGCAACTTTTCCGTCACGTTCTGCCAGAAAGTATCAATTCTTTCTTCACGTGTGGAAGGTAAAAGAATGATTCAGTGAAGCAAGGAGTAAAGCAAAAGGAATCTGTAGCCCCTACCTCTGTAAAGGCTGCAAACTTCAAATGACTAGAAACAAATATAAAATTGTGATCTTGTGAAAGAACAGCAATGAAACAGTAAGCACACAATAATGGCTTTTTCTCTGCACTTAGATAAAAGCTGAATTTTTGATGCGCACAGTATATTTTCATAAAATTTTATATACTATGTTTTATACACTTATTGGCTATTCCATAATAATGTGTGTGCTAACAGTAAAATTGCCCTTAAATTTATGTGTGTTATTTATACGCTCCCACGTAACAATGCTTTTTGTTGTAAAAAATATTCTGTTTATTAATGTAACTTTACAACCACTGCATCCAGGATCCGTGGTAAATTAATGACATTTTTATTATTTTATAGTGTCATTAAATTTTTACTGATCACTCCATCAAACAGAAGCAATAAAGGCCATAATGCAAACTGGGACACTTAGATCAGGGGAGCAGGAAGGCATTCCATATAGTCTGAAGTAAACGGCTTGCCATAAATGATATTTATACCATCTTTAAGGATGTGAGAATACTTGGACAAGTTTGGCAAAACTGTTTCTGTAGTACCGTGGATTGTGTACTTAAATAACAGTTTACTTGCCAGCAAGACAATTTTTTTTCAAACCATATGCGAGAAGATGACTGATTGCATCCATCTCTTGAAAAATAATATATGAAATGTAATAATACACTGGGCACCCCTCCCTTCTGGATTACCAAGACTGATCTGACTATACCCATGCCTCAAATTATTTCAACATGCTTGCTTTTTCCACATCTGAAATGTATGCTTAGTCTGAAATGGAAAATGGCATGCATGCTGATCGTTGTGTAAAAGATTTAAAATATATACATTTTTTTGCAAACAAATACTTTTATTTAAGTAGGCGTGTTTGGACAATGATGTAATACCTTTATTTCAATAGCCTAGCATGGAAGCAGTTACCAACATTAATTTAAAGAGCCAGTTTCTAGAAAAATCAAATTAATATGGGTCATTCACAGAAGCCACAGAACATACGACTGAAGGGATATTATTTCTTCTGAGGACAGTGCTTTAGTTAGAATGACTTCAAATAATTATCACATGTTGCCTTATGTATGAAATGTATTTCAATTGAATTATTCCATACTAAATGTTCCAGTAGCTTATTTGCTAACTCTGATCTATTCCCTTCATGTACCATGGACAGTAAACAACAGGCAAAC